GGTTATGGAAGCTAGTGCTTAGCAAGCTATTCAGCTATTCACATATAGAGAAATATGCCATCAAACCAAGACATTTGAAATATTCTAGATAATCAGTTACGTATGAGTGCAAGCAAGCCAGCTAGACTACTGTTCTTCATGTTCTAGTATGAATAAACTGGTTTATCAACCAGACTGATCATTGGCTTCCCAATGTGCTAGGATACTGGTGGGCTTCTAAATGCTGCTTAAGTTAGATAATATAGTCAATGGTGAGATGTTGTGAGAATTACAGTTCAGAGCCATTTTGTAGGGCCACAAGCGTATAACTTTCCATGCCTACAATCTACAATCTACGGAAAAATCAAAATAGCAACTACAAATGGAGATATTTCTAGAGCTGTGGTGTCACAGTGATTAGAATACAGTATTCTAACTCTGCATTCCCATTGCCAGGAGTTCCCCTCTGATCAGCTCAAGGTTGACTCAGCCTTCCATCCTTCCGAGGTTGGTAAAATGAGGACCCAGATTGTTGGGTGCAATATGCTGATTCTGTGAACTGCTTGGGGAGGGCCAAAAAGCACTATGAAACTGTATATACATCTAAGTCAGTGGTTCTCAACCTTTTTAATGCCGTGACCCCCAACCGGTCGTAAGTCGAGGACTACCTAACCGCTCGTAAGTCGAGGACTTTCCCTGCCCGGGAGCGCCGTGCATGCGTGGTGCCGCCCCCTGCACTGGCCGAGGCGTAGCTGGCAAGCAGCAGAGACGGCGCAGGCCGACCACCGGCTGGGCCACCAGCTGGCCCAGCCCAAGGGAGGTAAGGCACCCGCCGGGCCCCACATGCGCCAGTAACCCTCCCTGCGCCCGCCGGCCTCCCACCTCCCACCCCTGGCCCTCTTTTACTTACATTTTTAGTAGTTGCTCAGCAGGGAGGGGTGGAAGCTTCCAGACAACTCGCCTTCGCTGCAGACAACTTGCAGCACCGTTTGCAGAATGGGACTTTTGGCAGGCTCAGCAGGGAAGAGACAGCCTGGACAATTCCTATTGGCTTTTGAAAGCCAATAGAATTAGACTCTATTCAAGACAGTCTATTCTATTGGCTTTCAAAAGCCAATAGAATAAAAGGGAGTAGCACAGCAAAGGAAAAGGGGGAAAAATGGCGGACTGTGTTGTTTGGCGACCCCCGTGAAATGGTCGTTCGACCCCAAATGGCGTCCTGACCCACAGGTTGAGAACCGCTGATCTAAGTGCTATTGTTATTCTGATTCTAAGAATTATGCCACCTCACAGAGGTTTTCCTCATTCTTGTTTCCTCAAACCATAAGATTTATTCTACTGTTCTCTTTAAGATTCTAAACAAGCTTCCGTTGCTTAATTTATCTCTCTTTAAACCCTAAGTTCCTTGCTAATTTTTCCCATACCCCACCATTTTTTCGCATTGGAAAACAACAACTCATGCTCTAATTAAAAATCACATCAGCTATTGCAAGAGACATGCAGTTTTCTACTCTAAAGATATAATTAACAAATGGATAATAGGATCCAATGGCCAAACATATACCTTTAATAGCCTTGACACAGTGTTTAGTCCTTCTCTTACTAAATCCTATTTCTTCATGATTCTACTCAGTCTACTGCCCCTAGTAGCTACATTTAATATAACTGATATTACTGCACTATTAATGTAATGCTATCAAGGATGTCAATTGTAAGATGAATATCATAAAATATCATTTATCGTACTAGGTCTGGCCAGCTTTAATATTAATTCTTGATAAGACCAAAGTCATAAAAAGCTTTTAGCCTGCATTTTCTAATTTTACAGCTTCCATCCTGTATTGTATATACAGCTGGAGGAAACAGTAGGTGACTACCAAAGGAAAACCTTTAGGGCACTACTAGAAAGCAAGTGAAGGCATTCACTGGTACTAACCATTGGAGTCGTTTCCATCTTCCTTGGCAGAGAAGTCTCAATTCTTTGCCAACATGTATCTCTAAAGCTCTTATATCAAAGCTTTGCTTAATGTAAGCTCTATCACTACATGATACAATCAAGAAAAATACAAGTTTAGCAAAAAAAAAAAAAAAACACTCACCAACATGAGCATATTTCAGCTTATACATACATGGGGAAAATATCCATATCGACCCCATTTACGTGGTTGATCAAAAATCTGAGGATTATCTAACAAGTATTTTGTATGCCCATTCAATGGAATTGTAAGAAGAGCCTACTTCCTATACAGCTATTTGAAAAAAAGGAGCCTGCCCTTGCCAAATGAGGCTAATTTTGAGAACAAAACCTCATAAATTGTGCAAGTTACCATCCAATATCTGTTGCTTTGGCATTATTGTAAAAGGTATTATCATCAATCATCCTGCACAAACTGGTTTTATGAAAGGGCATCAGGCCACTGAAAACATTAGATTATTTGTAGATATCTAAGCAAGTAGTGGAGGAAGTAAACATTTAAAAATATTACACTGATGTTCAATTATATTCCTAAAACTTGTCTATTTGTCAAGAGCGTCCTGGATGGGGACAGTCAAAGGGCCATATGGCCTATGGGCCATAAGATACCCAGGTCTGGATTAGACAATATACTTCTATGTTCTCAAGATTCTTATTTAAAAAACTGAGTTGTATTAATTTGTATAAAGACATAACTATTACATTCTATTTAGAAAATTAGACAAAATCATTTTTTCTTCTTTCACCCTTTTCACGTCTGTAGTTCTATTTAGATTTTATATATAGTTTTGTTTGAATTGTATTTAAAGTTTTTTTAATTATCACTAGTTTTAGGAATATTGACAACTATTATTTAAAAACAATAATTACAATTCCAAAACCCCAGACCTTGCCTTCCATGAGCTCTAACTAAAGTTCATTTTAGTCCTTTTTCCATTACAAGGACTAGTATTTCAGGACATTTATGAATTACAAATTTAGGGAATATTTCCATTCATAGCTTCTCAACTACATAAGTGGTTAAATACAGCCAGACAGTAACAAGGTCCAGATGCTTCATGAAGTTTAACAGAGAGGACTACACGTATTTTATTCCATACCATCAACTTTTATATTCCTGTTAAGATTCAGGCAAGCTCCTTAGTCTTAGGGAGTTCTTTGCATATGATGTCAGAAACAGTTTATCCTGGGTCAAAATGTAGAATGTTTCATACATTATGAAGTATATTAAAAAAATGTTTCCAAACCAGCTAAACGACCAAACATACGGGAAGATATAATTACATAAATGAGGGCAGGATGTTTTGTAAAGCAAATCATATATATGAGTATGAATAATGGTGTCCATCATTTTGGAAATAATTCATAGCACAGGAAAAGTAATTCTTCATATACAGTTAAAAACCTTGGCTTAAATAGGCTACTTAAGGATACAGGTGTTTTAAAACCTGTAAATTAAATTATGATTTCTGTCAATATATCCTTGCATATTTGACTTAAATTGCATTATATATAGTAAAACCTCCTTTTAACAAATGTTCAGTTTTAAATGAACAAATGTGTTTTTAAAGCTGAATAAATGGTTTGCTCCTGTGAGCATGAAAACCAAGAAGGGATACAATGTCCCAGTCTGTCTCACATCTTTATTACATAAGAATTGTATTGTACATTACAATTTAAATATTGTAAAAAAAAATTCTATACAGGAGAAAATATTGATAGATGGAACTTAAACTATTGGAATAGGGAGTCTTATAAAGAATCTAAACACTGACACACCTTATCTTTCAAAATGCTACAGTGCCAAATTATTCACTGCAACAAAAAGACTCTACGTTCAGAATACAAACAAATCCTCCTTTATGCAATGTGTAATATACAAGATTTAATTCTACAGAACCTGCAATAGTCACTAGCTGACTCAATTTTCAAAATGAATAAATAATTTTGGACAGTAGCCAAAGCTGAAAACTGAATTTTTTTTCAGTCAAAAACGGTGTGCTTGATTGTAAACAAAAAAAGAACTATCTTGCTTCCCACCTTCCAGGAATGTATGGTTATGTAGTACACTAAGAGAAACAGAATACCAAATTTATCCTTAATGAAATCCAGCTGGACATTCTGGTTTTATGTTTAACATTTGTACAGTATATTAAGGTCAGGGGTTGGCATGCTTTAGCTGAATCTGACCAAGTACCTATTTGTAAGCATATCGTACTATCAGGTCTTGTCCCAATCTCTTACTGCATTTGTGAAATGAATTGTATGGACAAAAGCAACTTCCTTTCTATTGTCCATTTTCAACTTCAGGGGCATCTAAAGATTCTGTAGTCTCCAAGAAGACATCTTGCTTCCAGTACCAACTCTGGACAGGTTATATAAAGGCTTGTTTTAGCTCTAAATGCCCACCAGCACAGAAACATCTCCCAATCCCCACCACCACCACCACCTAACAAAAAATATTAGAAGCAGGCAAGCCCTATTGGATGGGTGTTCCCAAATGCAGTGTCATAGCAGGTATACAATTCTCACAAGTACAGTTCTTAACAATCTTCTCTTCCCAGTTCAGAATCAGAAAGGAAAGGCAATGATTTGCTCTGGCCTTGTGGGGAAACAAATTTTAAGCATCTTCTCAATATTGGAGCTGGAATGGTAAGAAGGGTCCTGTGCATTCCCTGAAGTTCTTGGGACAGGAAAAAAGGATCAGGATCATTATTTTCATCAAAGACTACATGAGTGACAATGATCATGATCATGATCAAAACTGTCAAATGCCAATACACTGTACTGTAAGGAGACAAACCAAAAAACCTACAACCATTCACAATTCCATTTAGAAGACCTAAGCAAGGGTTGTTGACTCCAGAGTGCATCTCTCCTCTGCAAGTTCCAGAATAATGGCAATGCAGAGATGAGTCTTCATTGAGGAGGTGCCAATTCTGTGGAATGACATCCCCTAAGTGATACAAACTGATTATATTATGTTGTGTACCAATATATTCCCTGAATGTGACAAACAGAAAATGTAAAAATAAAGATGATTTACCAAAGCAAACACCACGGTGTGGGACAAAGGCTTTACAGGCTGCTGCAATAGCCAATTCAGCTGAAATTACTGTCTTAATTATCAGATCCTCCACGCTGGCCATCAAAACTAAGATAAAAATGGGAAAGAAAACAAGAGCAATAATCTTAAGTCAAGAACTGTTAACCTACAATATTTTAACAGTAAAAACAAAATTTAGTTTCAGATGCAAAATGATGTCCCCTGATCTTTACAACCACACATTTAATCCTTTTGTTGGATGAATTTGGCATACGTTGCATGTGTTTTGGTGATATTTGTCTGACTTTTCCATCTTATTTATTCCTTTTATTGTACTTATTTACTTATTCCATTTGTAGTTCAGTTTTTATATTGTAAGCTGACCAAAATTGGTTTGAGTCAGGTGGTGCCAAAATCAAAACAAATAAACAAATTTGGAACTCTTTTTATTGATTTGAAATATTTTGTACATCTCATATAATTTTTATTTAAAAGATTCTGAAATGGTTTATAGAAATAAAAATAACATATTCACCTTCATGTTTGTTCCCAAAGTCTCTTCATGAAAAATATTCCACAAGTTAACCTTCTAACTTTTTCCAACTGTCACCAGTTAGCCATGCTTGGGATTTTGCTCTATATTTTACTATACCATGTCCATCAGTGATCCTGAACATTTATTAAAGGAAAGTATGACCCCAGATGACTGCCAGGAGAAAATTTTCTATGACAGTTTCTTTATGACGCTGCATAGTAAAGGAAGGAAACATTGAGCGCCTTGGGTCTATTTGGGCTTTTGAGCTCTATCAGTTGGAGCAAGTTGTCAAAAAAAAGGGGTGGTAGTGTAATACAAGAGACTTTCCTTTTCAATAAGAATCAAAATATCTTTGAGAACATGCCTACAAAAATTGATTTCATAATCAGAAACAAACTTACGGTATTCATATAAAAAACACTTCTGGTCCTCTCTACAATGATCTTATTTACAACAAAGAGAAATATATTTCTTGCTATTCCTGAATTATCCACGTTCAGAAACTCTCATAGATATACTGAAGGTCCTCCAAAGTTATCTTTGGTTTAAGATCAAATACCCATCTTTCAGTCTTATGACATTCTTGCCCACATAGATATCACAGAAACTGAATCTTTAACATTCTCTTTCATAGAGTCCAACCCCCCTGCTCAGGTATAGGGTTACCTGCCTGGTAACCTAGAGGACTTGATGACCTCCAAGGTCCCTTCCAACTTTATTATATTATTATTATTATTATTATTATTATTATTATTATGGATCATCGCACAGCCAGATGTTCAGACTGGATTTGGCATTTTGTCTACCTATCGAGTCCTTACCCAGGACCTGGGATAGGCAGATGTGGATGTTTGATGGTATTACAGATATCGTCGCAGGATGGAAGCAGTTCCTAATAAGGCCGCCTTTTGCAATTGACTAATAGCGAATTTGTCAATACCAATGGTGTTCAAGTGGTGCTCCAGTTGTTTTGGGATTGCACCCAAGGAGCCTATGACTATTGGTACTACCCTTGCTTGCTTTTGCCACAGTCTTTCTATTTCTATTTGTAGGTCTTTGTATTTTGTTATCTTCTCCAGTTCTTTCTCGTCTATTCTGCTGTCTCCAGGCACTGCCACGTCCACTATCCAGACTTTTTTGTCTTTCTTATCGACAATTGTTAAGTTTGGGGTGTTATGTTGCAGGTGCTTGTCTGTTTGAATTCTGAAGTCTCAGAGCAGTTTAATTTTATCATTTTCTATGACTTTCTCTATTTTATGATCCCACCAGTTTTTGCTTACAGGCAAATGATATTTTTTGCAGATCTTCCAATGCACCTTTGTTGCTACTTTGTCATGCCGCTGCTTGTAGTCAGTCTGGGTGATCTTCTTGCAACAGCTTACCAGGTGGTCCACTGTTTCTTCAGCTTCTTTGCATAGGCGGCACTTACTGTCTGTGTCATTATTATTATTATTATTATTATACATTTCCATTTCATATGAGTTCACGAGCATGTTTAAATTTTTTCATCTTAATTAAATGGTCTCAAGTAGACATACAGTTAATTCCATACTTAAATGTGCCAACGAAAGTCACATTGATAAATAATTTTTTAAAAAGATAATGAACAAGGACATATTTTGCCAGACAAGTCTTCTGTCACCACTGATAACACTGAATGCCTCAAACTAACTATTTCAAAGACAGGTTGAAATTTCAATTGTCAATTAACCATGCTATCAGTAGGCCAATCAAAGAGGATAAGATCTCCTACAGAATATAAAATTCTTAAATGAAAGGCATTCACTAAAGAAGTCACTGTTCAAAGGAAAGTGCTATTACAAAAGACAATTCCAATTCCAAAGAGAAACACACAGCAAAGAAAAATAAGAACATATCAAAAAGACATATTCAGAGAAAAATAAGATAAGAGATTATAGCCCAGAAGTAGTACAGTAGTCAAAGTAGAGAAGAAGAACTGTTAGGAACAGTTTCAGACAATTAGATAATTAAATCTACTAATATTTATGAAGAACAGCCAGTTTGAGACAATAGTTAAGGTACTAGGGTAGAAACTGGGAGTCTATACATTCTAGTCCCATCTTAGGTACAAAGACCAACTGGGTGACTTTGAACCAGTCACTCTCAGCCCTAGGAAGCAAGCAATGGCAAACTACTTTTGAAAATGTTACTAAGAAAACTGTAGAGATTTGTCTAGGTAGGTGCCAAGGGTCAACACTGACTCAAAAGAGGAAAAAAATTAAAATGAAAAGGTGTTCTAAAGATGATTCAAGGAAATAGTAATAGATATCTGCTCACCAGTTGTATCTTTTCCTTCTTGTTTCAGGTATCTCAGCATTGCACTCATACTCCATTTGTTTCCATAATCCTCCACTTCAGGATCATCACAACTAAAACATAAGAAATACCTTTTATCCTGATCACCTGTGATGGAATTCTACCTCCAAAGTCTGCTTGGTTAATTCATATTTTCATATATTATTTGACTGCACTTAATAACTGCTTCAAGACACTTTTGTTTTAACACAATATAAAAAAAATTAAATAAATATAGAAACCAATATTTATTTCCAATTCAAGCTCAAGATCTCTTAAGAAATCTAAGTACCTGACATAGTCACCACTCTTCTTGTTGACACTATAATTTGTAAGATGCATGAATTGGTTTTTAATATTCTTTGATCCCTGGTCATATCTCACAGTTGCAAACCTACAAAACAAAAATGGACATAACAATCTTTAATGAAAATAAAACTAACCAATTTTTTCAACTGATGTTTCTGAGTTAGCTTCAAAGGTAGCCTGATTTAAACTTGCTGAAGTAATCTACACATGAAGTGACAAGATCATAAATCACATTTGTCAGGGTATTCTGGTCCAAAAAAGCCTACAATTGGTGAGTAAGCTGAAGCAGAGGTCCCTTCTGGGTCAAACATGACAGAATCAAAATTGGAACCAAAATGAAGCCAATCCAATCACCAACAAATAGAAGCTCCACCTTGAAGGGATTTAATATGACTATAGGATGTCTCTAACCCAGGCAAATCAAACTCGCAATGTCATGTGACATCGTGCCACATATCGGGACTTTTTCCCCATTGCCGGCAATGGGGTGGGTGCGGTTTCAGCGTGACACATCCGGCCCAGAGGCTGGCAGTTTGACATGCCTGCTCTAACCAGTGTAGTAATTGGTTAAAGTACTAAAGTAGGAGTTGGGAGGCTCAGGTTTTAACCCTCCCTTTGGTATGAAAATCAGCTAGGTGACCTTAGGCCAGTCACTTCCTCTTAATTCAGATCAGCATCAGACTCTACAACAAGTCAGTTGAAAAACAACAACCCACATCATACATCAATAGCTTCACTGGAAGAACTGCAGAGAAAGCAATGCAAGCAGAACCTGTAACCAAGTGGGACAAACATTAATTACTACTACTACTACTACAATAGGCGTAGTAACAATAGAAATTAAAATTCAAGAAGGGATTCCTTGAAACAAAGATAGTGACTGCTTTCTATTACTTGAAGCAATAAGGCCATCTGTAAGTTCTCATTCTCAGAGTATTTAACAGCATTAAAATTTACTGCATTATATTACAATCCTTCCCCTTAGCATGAAACAAGAAAAGGTTTATGCAGTACCATATATTCAGTTAAATATATATACAGTAAGTGGAACCTGAAAACACACTTGCAACAACTATTCTCTTTTTTGCTGCCTCTTCTCCTCTACTAAGCCAGAATGCTTTGTTTGCAGCCTTATTAAAGTAACAAACATAGATTCCAGAATCAAGAGAAAACAGAAATTTTTATTCTGCTCAGTCACAGGCCAGGATTACTATTGAGTCACTCTTTTATGCTTGTATTGCATTCTTATCTCAATGTAGGAAATATTTCAAAATCACTTTTAACAGTTAAACCCAATGAGTATGAACAGATTATAAATGAATGACAGATTGTAAAGTTTATTGGGGCACTAGAACATTATTCCAGTAACTGAATGGCTCAAAGTAATAACATACTACTGCAAAATAAACTCTTTCCAGGATCTGGAAGTTTCCAAATCAATTCCAAATCCTTTCTCCAATTTTGAATTCCGCCCCACCCCCACCCAACTATCATTCCAGCTTCCTTCCTTTCTCTTTTTAACCCATCAATCAAGGCTGTTTTTACATCTTCACAGTAAACCTGACACTCTGATCTTGGAGACCAACAGTTGCAGCCAGTTTAATCCTAAAGCAATTAATCTGCATTAGAAAGAAGTACAAAGGATTGTGGCTCAAAACGGATACATTTGCTATTAAAAAAAAAAAAAACAGCGTTGATCATGGACCCTGTTGCCATTTCCCCACTTCCTAAATTATCTCTGTTCCCAAAAATATCAAGGGCCTGCCAGGCAAGGGTTACTGTGAGAAGGACTGGACTGCTGCAACAGACTCTGGCCACAATACAGCCTATGAGGTAATCTGAATTCCTTGGCTCACAGTAAGTACCTGAATTCTTTAAAAACCACAGGAATCCACAGAGAAAGGTAAATATCTCCACGGAGCCAGTGTTAATTAACAAGCAGGGTAACGAAAGGAGAGGGCAGGAGGAGGCTCAAGAAACAGGAAAGCCCAGTGTCAGAAATGACAAGACGCTGCTGCTTGCTCCTTCATTTCAGAATGTGAATGATTGGGCGGCCACATCCATTTTCCACCCACCCTCTTTCCTTCTCTGGGCCCCTCAGAAGCACATTTGGTTTTCTGCTCAACCCGCTGTACTTCCACAAACAGCTCTGTGTTTTCTCTAGCTTACCGCTAGCTTAACTGCAAGTGTTTGCTCAAAAGATACTAGGCCCCAAATTGCCACCTCTTTAAAACTTTTTCTTAATAGATGAAATTTTCTCCTGATTCCAAACAAAGAAAAGTTGATTTTAAGCCTGAAAATAATCAGCCTTGTGCCTGACTGCCCCCTGCTGGGATATTATTTTTGTATAAAGCTTGCATGGCCTTCAAAGCAAACGCTGAGTAGGCTGATTGCAACTAAATAATTATGTAACAAAGCAATAATAACACCCACTTTCCAAACATAGATATTTACAAGATATGTCCATGTCCAAATTTTATATGATTTTATCTGCCTTTACAAAATTGAAACCGGAAGGTCCAAGAGTATGCTAAAATATTCATATAAAATTGCATTTCTCAGGATCAGGATAAAACCAACTACTAGATGGCAAGAAAAGGTTTAATGTATCTTTTTGTTGCCATCAAACGATCATCTGCATTTCTGCAGCAAAACTGTCGTAGCTCTCTGAAATTATCTACTTTAATGTCAACTTTTGTAGAGGATGTAGGGACAAAACAACATTTTCACAAATTAACCTCTTGCTTTATATTATCAGATCTTATTTCTAAAAGACAAAGACAATGTATGAAACCTTCAAATTATTTCACCTAAGTGAATAATATGTGGCAGAATTAGTTCACAGATACTTTTTAAATTCAGAACAATAACATTATTATCTTTCCTTTCCGGTTTACACTGGTTTATGAGTCTCATAAGCATATATGTCTGAAAGAAAGAGCAATATTTGTATAGTATGGGAGTGATTTGTGAAGTGCCTACATAAATGCATAGACCAGTGGTGGCGAACCTGTGGCACGCGTGGCACGCAGAGCCATCCCTGTGGGCACACACGCCATTGCTGGGCTCCTCCCCCTCCCCCTCTCCACACATGCACAGTCCGGGAACAGCTGCAAGAGCTGGGTGGGGTGAGGGAACCTAAAAGGAGAAGTTTTGGTGGGAGAGTGAGTGAAATCAGAGCCGCCATCTCCCTTCCGCAGTGCAGCCCCATCGGCATGAGCGGAGATAGCGCCGGGACGGCCAGAAAGGAGCGGGTCTTGTCTACAGGGTGGTGGCTCTGATGGGGGTGGCGGTGGCTACTCTGAGCCCCTTGACTGACCAACCACACAGAGAAGCAGGAGGAGGCGGCGGCGATCCCTGCATCGCCAAGCCTGGCCAGCCGCAGATCTGGAAGCAAAGCTGTGCCGACCATCCTCTGGTGAGGGCAGTGGTGGGGGAAGGTGAGCTGTGGCACACACCCTCCCTTCCCCGCCCGGAGGCGCACGCAGGACAATGTGTGGCAGCAGTGGCAAAGAGTGCCCGCATGCCAGATCCTGCCTTCCCCCGTCGCCGCCGCCAGCGTGAGGATGGTCGGCAGAGCTTCGCTTCCGGATCTGCTACCTGACACTATCAGCCCCCACACACAGAGGCCAATGAGTGCATGGGGGCCGACAGTGTCTGTCAGCAGCCACAGCATGCTGGCTGTCCTGCATAATGGCGGACTGGCCACAGAGCCCCATCAGTGCGGGCGGAAATCACTGCAGGATAGCCGGAAGGAAGCCTTTGCCCGGCCTGTGCGCATCCACTCAACGGATCTGATGGGGGTGGCTTCTGCTGCTGCTCTGACCGGTCAGCCCTGTAGGGAAGCAGGAGGAGGTGGAGGGGCAGCCGGGGGTCTGGAGCCACCTCGGCTGCTCACTAGCAGCCCGACGAGGCAGCAGATTCACGTATCAGCTGCCCCTTCTGCTTCCCTGCAGGGCTGACCTGCCCCCACCAGCGTGAGGATGATCGGCACAGCTATGCTTCCAGATCTGCGGCTGGCTGGGCTTGGCAATGTAGGGATTGCCACCACTACCTGCTTCTCTGTGTGGTTGGCCAGTCAAGGGGCTCAGAGCAGCAGCTGCCACCCCCATCAGAGCCACGTGTAGACAGGACCTGCACTAGGTGAGGGCTCCTTCCCGGCCGTCCTGGGGCTGTCTCCGCTCACGCTGATGGGGCTGCCATGATGCAGGAGGATGTGGCTGCTGACAGACACTGGTGGCCCCCATGCGCTCGCTGGCCTCTGTGTGTGTGGGGGGGAGCTGATGGTGTCAGGCAGCAGCTGCTCCAGCCCCTGCCTTGCCCTGCCCTGTGGCAATTGGCACACCCGCCCTGCCTTGCCTCGCCTCACCCCACAGGATGAGCCTCCGGTCCACCGCCCCACCCACTAGAGACCCCCTGAATCTCCCAACCCTGCCCGCCCCCACAAGCGTCCCCCCCACAAGCATCATCGAGGTGGCCACACCCACTGTGGCCATGCCCACCCAGTCGGCTGTGATCACCGAGGCCACACCCACCCAGTCGGCCATCTCGATAAATAAATGGGTTTTGGGTTGCGGTTTGGGCACTCAGTCTCTAAAAGGTTCGCCATCACTGGCATAGACTATAGGAAGAACATAGAAAGAACTAAGAGAAAGAAAGGCAGGAAGGTACGTGTAATTTAGCAGGCATTACTAAAACCTGCCATGATAAAATTCATGAGCAGAAGGCAAAGACTGAAGGGTACAAATGGAACAGGTCAGATGTGAAGGAAGAGTAGCATTATATCTGAAGGAAATGCATGGATATACTAAGATGCAAGCATGAGAATCCATGTGTCAGGAGCATTTGGGTAAGAACTGAAATAATAGAAAACAACAATAGAAATGTGAGGCATACTACATCCTGCCAGGAGTGGCAGAACATCTGGATAATACTCTTCTGGTCCAGATCATATAATTTTTCAGGGATAAAACATATTGTTATATTGGGAGACTACCTGGGTATCTATTAATAGACAAACTCAGCCAAGACTGCAAGATCCCAAAAATGCCTGCTGTTTCATTTTTCAGAAGATTTAAAAAAGAA